GAACTCACGGGCTCAGGCAATCCACTCACCTCAGCCTCCCAAAGGCGAGGGATTACAGGCTGAGCCACTGAGCCTGGCTATTTATTTTTATTCTCACTTTTTATTCCCCGAAGGTCCTGAGTGTTAGATTTTAGGATTTTCTGGGTATTTGCCTGACTTAACACATCCTACCCTTGTTTTCGCCAGTGGCTTGTTTACTGGTCCTCTGGCGGCAATACCATCCCTCTCTTTTTTTTTTTTTTTTCTTGTGTGTGTGTGTGTGTGTGTGTGTGTCGGAGTCTTACTCTGTCACCCAGGCTGAAGTGCAGTGACAGGCTCACGACCATGGCAGCATTGACCTACTGGGCTCAGGCGATCCTTCCGCTTCTGCCTTCCAAGTTGCTGAAACTTCAGGCATGCACTACCATGCCCGGCTAACTTTTTAAATTTTTATTTATTGTAGAGATGAGGTCTCACCATGTTGTCCAGGCTGGTCTGGAACCTGTGGGCTCAGGCAATCCTCTTGCCTCTGCCTCCCAAAGTGCTGGGATTACAGGTGTGAGCAACCGTGCCTGGCTTTCTTTTCCAGTTTCCTCATGGGCAAGAGGGAATGTCGGTCCTGTGACTAAAAACTGGGACAGTAGTGATTCCGGGAAGGCACTGGAGCCCTCGACTAGAAATCCAAAAGGCCTGCGTTTTCTCTTAAGCTTTCAGTGTGACTTGGCCAAGTCGTGTATCCTCTTAGCCTCTAATTTTTTTCTCTATAGCTTTTATCATTCCTAAAAGCAGGGGGTTGGGCTGTATGTTCTCCAGGGCATCTCAGGCTCTGAAATGCTTGTCTGACTTCACCTCTCTCCTCCGGCCCCATCCCTCTCAGGTCACCGAGGGCGTGTCTCTGCTGCTGTCTGTCCTTCAGGATCCTGCCCTCCAGAAGTCATCCAAGGCTTGGTACTTGCTGCGTGTCCAGGCCCTGCAACTGGTGGCAGTCTACCTTAGCCTCCCATCAGACAGCCTCTCGGATTCCCTATGGGAGCAGCTCTGTGCCCAAGGTGAAAGAGTAGGGTAGATGGCTTCCCTGGGTGATGTGTATGTTTTGTCTGCTGTCAGCTCCTCTCACCCTCATCCCCTCTGCTGGTTACCTGTGTGGACTGGCTTACCCAGAACCTGCACAGACTAGACCTGGAGTTGCAGATGGGTTTCAGCTTGCCTGCTGACTCTAATCAGTTAATGAGTGACTGCCTGTAATACTGAGGATTCTGAGACCCCATGGGATCTCAGAGGGAAAGAATTCTGTGATTGATTAGCATCGTCTGCCTTAGTTGCAGAAAGAAAAGATTGGGCAGCATGTTTTGCATTTGCTATCTTAGTTGAAGGTGGCAGATGTTCTGGCCACATCATCTTCCTTCTTTGCCCCACCTACTACAGGCTGGCAGACACCTGAAGTTGCACTCATAGACTCCCATAAGCTCCTCCGAAGCGTCATCCTCCTGCTGATGGGCCGTGATGTCCTCTCAGTTCAGAAAGCAGCTGTGGAGACACCGTTCCTGGACTATGGTGGGTCTGAGGAGGAGAGCAGAGCCCTATGGGGATGGATCTGCAGCCTATATGGGAGGGCTGGCAGTTTTGTCTCCAGAGGATCCAGACTGTGGCTGAGTGGTGCTTGTTTTGCCTCTCCCCTTTGCTGCAGGTGAAAATCTGGTACAAAAATGGCAGGTTCTTACAGAGGTTCTGAGCTGCTCTGAGAAGCTGGTCTGCCACCTGGGCCGGCTGGGTAGTGTGAGTGAAGCCAAGGCCTTTTGCTTGGAGGCCCTGAAACTGACAACAAAGCTGCAGATACCACGCCAGTGAGTATAGGGCCTGAGAGGATGTCGATTCTGGCCCCTCAGTGCTGTGCATTCTTGACCGTGGATTCCTAAACCGTTCCCAGATGACATGTTATGTTTAGAGGGATTGTGAAAGAAGGCATTCCGTGGCTAAATGGTGGGAAAGGTTGGTTAATCAAGGGTACATGTTTTTATTTCCCCTAGGACTCTCTACATCCTTCAGTGTGTTCATACACATTGTCAGTCTCCAAAGGGGAGATGTGATATATACAGTGTTTCCCTTCATGAATTTGTTCATGGGATCTTTTCTTTTTTTTTTTTGGTTGGAGTCTCACTCTCATCGCCCAGGCTGGAGTGCAGTGGCACACTCATGGCCACTTCTTTTCTTTTTTTGAGGAGTTTGGGAAATCATGTCCTAATGCAACGGGAGAGTTGGGGATGACAGGACAGAGGTCTTTCCTCAGGGAGGAAAAGTCAGCTTTAGGGAGTGAAGACCTTCTGAGGGCAGGGAAGGATGGTGCTGACTCTGCTTGGGAAAGGGGCAAAGAGAAGGACCCTCCAGGGAACTAAAGGATTTCCCTGGTTGGCTCTGCTCTCCTCTCCCACCTAGGTGTGCCCTGTTCCTGGTGCTGAAGAGTGAGCTGGAGCTGACCCGCAGTGATGTTGACCTCTGCCAGTCAGACCTGCAGCAGGTTCTGTTCTTGCTGGAATCTTGCACAGGTGAGCAGCTATTCCCCCATGCTCGTGGGCAGTAGTGAAAATAATACACACACCACAACGCATCTTTGTATGTGAAGGTCTGGTTTCCTTCTAAGTCAGACACTTCTGGTCTCAGGGCAACACTCTTTGACTTCAGTCAGACCACTGGCCTCCTTCCTTCAGACAGCTTGTCCAGGACAAACTCTGCCTACTTCTAGTTCTCAGCACTGCCAAATGCATTTTGGCTATTTAAATTTAGATTTGTTTTAAGTAAATTTTTTTTTTTTTGAGTTGGAGTCTCACTCTGCCACCGCAGCCTCGACCCGCTGGGCTTCCACAATCCTTCCGCCTCAGCCTTCTGAGTAGCCAGAATTACAGGCACACGCTACCACACCCGGCTGATTTTTTATTTTTTTATTTTATTTTATTTTATTTATTTATTTTTTGAGTTGGAGTCTTACTCGGTCGCCCAGACTGGAGTGCAGTGGCCGCTCCCGGCCACCGCAGCCTCGACTTGCTGGGCTCCGGTGATCCTTCCACCTCAGCCTTCCGAGTAGCCGGAATTACAGGCATACACTACTACGCCCAGCTGATTTTTTGATTTATTGTAGAGATGAGGTCTCGCCAAGTTGCCCAGGCGGGTCTCAAACCCATGTGCTCAGGCAATCCACTCACCTCAGCCTCCCAAAGGTGTGGGATTACAGGCTGAACCAACGAGCCCGGCTTGATTTTTTATTTATTGTAGAGATGAGGTCTTGCCAAGTTGACCAGGTGGGTCTTGAACCTGCGAGCTCAGGCAATCCACTTACCTTGGCCTCCTAAAGCGTGGGATTACAGGCTGAGCCAACAAGCCCAGCCTACCTTTGGTATTTAATTTGCCCCACACAAAACCCTGTAGTTAGGTGAGAACATAGATTTTTTTTCACTTGTTAAATGAGAATCTTGAACCAGGTGAGGTGGCTCAATCCTGTAATCCCAGCACTTTGGGAGGATTGTTTGAGACAAGACTAGGCAACATAGCAAGACTTCATCTCTACAAAAAATAGAAAAGTTCGCCAGATGTGGTGGTACATGCCTATAGTCCCAGCTGCTTGAGTGGCTGAGGCAGAAGGATTGCCTGAGCCCAGAAGGTGAGACTGTGGTGAGCCGTGATCATACCACTGCACTTCAGCTTGGATGACAGAGTGAGACCCCAACTTAAAAACAAAAGTTGAGAAAGCCAATGTTTTGGGCCAGAATCAGAAGGCTACTCAGGGCAGGAGGCAGGATCCAGGTATGGGCCTCCTGGTACTGGCCTACTTTTCTGAGCTGCAGATGTGGGCTTTGTGGACTATGTTGATTTATTGTTGGTTGGGAAGAAAACATTAGCGACTTTATCTACAAAATAATAAGCTATACTAATACCTAAGTGTGTTATACAGTAATATATGTGAGTAACTTATAAGTAAGCAACATATCTACTAGGGAGTTAGACCCTGAGGTAGCCTAGGGAGTGCTTGAGACCATTTCTTAATTTTGTAATTCTTGTTCTGCCCTCTCCCCAGAGTTTGGCGGGCTGGCCCAGCACCCGGACTCTGTGAAAAAGGTCCACTTGCAGAAGGGAAAGCAGCAAGCCCAGGTTCCCTGTCCTCCGCAGCTCCCAGAGGAAGAGCCCTTCTTAAAAGGCCCTGCACTGGAGCTAGTGGCCACAGTGGCCAAGGAGCCTGGCCCCATAGCACCTTCTACAAACTCCTCCCCGATCTTGAAAACCAAGCCCCAGCCCAGCCCCAGCTTCCTGTCCCATTCACCCACCTGTGACTGCTTGCTCTGTGCCAGCCCTGTACTCTCAGCAGTCTGTCTGCGTTGGGTGTTAGTCACAGCAGGGGTGAGGCTGGCCATGGGCCATCAGGCCCAGGGATTGGATCTGCTGCAGGTTGTGCTGAAGGGTTGCCCTGCAGCCACTAAGCGTCTCACACGAGCTCTCCAAGCTGCCCTGAATCATAAAACACCCCTAACCCCCATCCCAAGCCTTCTGGATGAGACCTTGGCTCAGGCATACACACAGCTGGCACTGGAGGGCTTGTGCCAGCCATCAAACAAGAGCCTGTGGAAGGTTTTGGAGTCAGGGCTGAAGTTTGTAACCTCACGGATACCCTACCTGGAGCCCTGGCGAGCCAACCTGCTCTTGATTCAGTCCCTTGCAAAGCTGGCTGGTCTCAGCTGCTATATACCCCAGTGTTTTGCAGGCTGCTGGGGCTGGCAGCCACCATTAATAAAAAGCCCCCCAGACTCAGAGCCCTCCAAGACGCAGAGCCAAAAACGTCCTGGACGAGGGCGCCAGCAGGTAGCCTCTGCTTCCCTGCGCCTCCGTCTTCCCTCTCAGAATGGTCTGGAAGGTGGAGGACCGCCCTGCACACCTAAGCCCCCAGGCCGGGTCAGGCAGGCTGGCCCTCGGGTCCCCTTCACCGTGTTTGAGGAAGTCTACTCTACAAAGAACAAGCCTGAAGTTCCCCAGGCCCCCAGGGTGCAACGGCGGGTCCAGACGCGGCTCAAGGTGAGGTGGGACATGCTGGGTGGTGTTGCGTGGGGGGATCCTGGAGAAGAGCGTTCTGCAGCCCAGGTGTCCCTGTGGAACAGCTTCCCAGGGCCCAGTGGAACCTCAGTCTCTCCTGATCTCTGCAGGACCTCTATATCTTCCACAGCAAGCCCTAGTTCCAAGTCTCCCTTTGTTTCAGCAGAAGGCACTTTTCTTAACTCCCTTTTCATCCTTTGTTCTTATCTTCTGTTCCCTCCTTCCACACCCAAGAGTCACTGCCCCTGACTGAGAGGGGTGTCAGGTGGGAAGTTAATTCTTAGAGCTTCCAGAGTCCTCTGTGATGGTACCTGCTGGTTCCTCCACAGCACCACCTGCTGTCAGAAGGTGTCTTGTCACTGAAGATCCCTCGTCCTTCTCCCTTTCCCTCTGATCCCAGGTGAATTTCAGTGACGACAGTGACTTAGAAGACCCTGTTTCAGCCAAGGCACAGCTGGCAAAGGAGCCTAAGAGACGGGGCACAGCTGGCCGGGGCCGGGCAAGGAAGGGCCTGAACTTGAAGACTGATGCAGTGGTTGCCCCAGGTAGTACCCCGGGGCACCCTAGCCTGAGTGGCAGGAGCCAGCAGGCCAAGAAGGTGGCATCAAGACATTGTGAGGAGCAGGGCCCCCAGGACACCCTTTGTGACCAGGCCAGGCTTGGCCCTGAGGTTATGAGGACTATCCCTGAGGAGGAACTGACTGGCAACTGGTCAGAAATGAGCTTTGAAATCCTGAGGGGCTCTGATGGGGAAGACTCAGCCTCAGGTATGATGGCCGGGGTGAGAGGTAGAAGGGGTGTGTTTGAGAAGTAGAAGGGTCTGCCCTGGGGCCAAAGCACAAGAAATAACCGATGCCAGGGCAGTGCAGAAAGAACATTCTTTCACTGGCTCCAGGGGGCTGGGATTACAGAAGGGAGAGTAAAGGGGATGGCAGGAAGAGGAGCACTGTGACAAGGTCATGCTCTCTCCCTAGGTGGGAAGGCCCCAGCTCCTGGCCCTGACATAGCCACAGGAGAACGGGAGCTGCTGAGGCGGGATTCCAGCAAGGAGGAGCTGCCCACCCTGTGCCCAGACAAGGGGAGTGACAGGGACCTTGGCCTCCGGCTCCCTTCAGCCCCTGCGGCCATTGGTGAATATGCCGACTCCCGATGTTTGGGTGTGTCTTTCCAGTCTGCCCATGGCTTTGGGTCTCTGAGTCAGGGAGCCTTTCAGCCTGGATTTGAATCCCAACACGCTCTACCAGCTGTATGCAAGTCACTTAACCTCTCTGAGCCTCTGTTTCCTTCACTGTAAAATGGGGCTTGGGGTAGATGGAGTGTGGAGTTGATGCCTGTAGGTTGCGTGGCACCTCATTTGGCACACTGCCCTTCATGAGAGGTAACTGCTGTCTTCCCTGTGAGAGACGAGATAAAGACTCCTGGGAAAGTTCCAGTCAATGAGGAAATAGAGGATTCGTCAATAGAGCAAGGAAATAGAGCAGGAAATAGAGGATTCGTCAATAGAGCAAGTGTCTTGCTCTTCTAGGTCTTTCTACCCTGGATTCCATCTGTGACTCACTGAGCATTGCTTTCCGGGGTGTCAGTCACTGTCCTCCTAGTGGGCTCTATGCCCACATCTGCCGCTTTCTGGCCTTGTGCCTGGGCCACCGGGATCCCTATGCCACTGCCTTCCTTGTCTCCGAGTCTGTCTCCATCACCTGTCGCCACCAGCTACTCACCTACCTCCACAGACGGCTCAGGTGGGTGCCTCCCCTCCCCCAAGACTCCTGCTGGGGCAGACTGGAGGAAGGGTCCAGACTGAAGGAGGGGGACCTCACCCTACCTGTGTCACCTGCAGCAAAGCCCAGAAGCACCGAGGATCTCTGGAGATGACAGAACAGCTGCAGGGGCTGAGTCTTCAGGAGAGGCCTGGCGATGTCCCCCTGACCCGCATCCAGCACCTCTTTTCCTTCAGGGCGTCAGGATCTGGCCACTTCCCTCAGCCCGAGAAGGAACGCTTCCAGGACTGCCTGGTTCTCATCCCCAGTGGTACACTGGCCAGTTCTCTGTCCTTTTCTGTCCTTACTGAGAACCGGGGTAGGAGTTTCAGGCATTGGCTAGTTTACATAGATATATGACCCTTATGTCGTGTCCTTTCACCTGTTAGCCATTTTGTTTCTCTCACCAGACAGACATATCCTAAGTCAGGAAGTTGTTTTTTTTTAAAACCTCAAGTTTGAGTTACCAGCAAATCCAGTTTCTTCCAGGGTGAGTTCAGATGTCTAGGGTCTTCCTACACTAACATGAAACACATTACCAGACGATCTGAGTGCCTCACTCTGCAGGGCCCTTTGTTAGTTGCTATGAGGGACACAAAGAAGCACAAGACATGATCTCTGTCCACAGCGAGCTGTTGGGGCCATTCAGATCACCTGGAATTCCAGTAACAAGGAAAGGCTTCTGGGAGCTATCTTGAGTGGCAGATAGGGACTGAGTGCCAGAGGCAGGGAAAGGAATCCCTTGTGACAACTTAAATGATTGTGGGTATGTCTTGTGTGTCAGGAGTGACTGTGTGCGTATTGGCCGTGGCTACCCTCCAACCTGGAACCATGGGCAACACCCTTCTGCTGACCCGGCTGGAAAAGGGCAGTCCTCCGGTGACTGTGCAGATCCCCACTGCCCAGAACAAGGTAGGATTCCTGGACCACAGAGCAAAGTTGGGCTGGGTGGGCTTCTCACATTTTGTGGCCATGGGATGGAGAGGTGGTGGTCACATGGACAGAGATCTCACAACCCATCTCCCAAAGCTTCCTCTGAGCTCAGTCTTGAGTGAGTTTGATGCCATCCAGAAGGAGCAGAAAGAGAACAGCAGCTGTACTGACAAGCGAGAATGGTGGACAGGGCGGCTAGAACTGGACCACAGGATGGAGGTGTGTGCTTCAGGGAAGGGGTTAGGCCCACCCTAGGATGACCCAGGGACACTAGTGTCTTCCATGTTAGAGGTCCTGGGTCAGTACTGAAGCTACTTCAAGTCCTTTCTGGAAATATAGGACTAAATTTAAAAACTGTGTCACATGGAAGGACTTTAAATGAGAGCCCCAAACGTGAAGAGAGTATGGCAGTGAAACACTGAGGGGCAGAAGAAAAAGGATCCTGGTCTGCTGTCAGCTTTCACTTTCATTGCCCACCTGCTCATGTTTGTCACAGCATAGGGACATATAACAACTAGTCCATACTTTCCCAGAGTTTTAGAACATGAAAAACATTTCTAGACTCTTGCCTTCTATGACTGGTAGAAAGGTAGACGAATACACACATAGAAAAACCTGTTTCCTCCTCTCTAGAATGGCAGTGTCTGTGAGGAAGAAGCTTGGCTTCCTCTTTGACCCAAGGCTCTACCCTCTGCATTCAGGCTCTCATCACCTCCTTAGAGAAGTCTGTGCTGGGCTGCTGGAGGGTGCTGCTGCTACCATCCAGTGAGGAGCCCGGCCCTGCCCAGGAGGCCTCCCACCTGCAAGAGCAGCTGCAGAAATGTGGCTGGAAATATCCTGACTCTACTCTGTTGAAAGTGAGTTAAGACAGCAGGGAAGGGGAAGAAACTACGCTTTTGGGGGGGTATTTTTGTTCGTTTTGGTAGAGACAAGGTCTTACTGTATTGCCCAGGCTGGTCTCAAACTCCTGACTTCAAGCCATCCTCTTGTCTCAGCCTCCCAAAGTATTGGGATTACAGTCAAGAGCCACCAGGACTGGCCAGAAATTAGACTTAATTCCTTCTCACCAGCCATTGCGAGTGGAGATGAGAGTCAGGCTGTCACTAAGCACTGTTCTCCTGCAGATCGTGCTCAGCAGTGCCAGTACCCTTAGCCCTCAGGACATTCAGACCCTGGCCTACGGGCTGTGCCCAACCCAGCCAGAGCGAGCTCAAAAGCTCCTGAGTGAGGCAGTAGGACATCTGCAGGGCCTGCCAGTACCAAGCGATGGGCACCTTGTCTTGGTGCTAGACAAGGTAAGGAGCTGGGTGGAGAGGCATTGTCCAGTGGGCAGTGGCACCAGCTCGTCCCCATGCCCCTCTGACTCCTGCATACACATGGCTCCGGACAGTAACCCTGAGTGTTTTTTGCCTAGGACTTGCAGAAGCTGCCATGGGAAAGCATGCCCAGCCTCCAGACACTGCCTGTCACCCGGCTGCCCTCTTTCCGGTTTCTGCTCAGCTACTCCATCGTCAAAGAGGTGGAATTCTGGGGGCAGTGCTTGGGGGAAGATCTGAAGAAAGGGCAGAGAGACCTGGGAAGAGTGGAGGGGGACTTAGGCATGGGTCAGATGTGGAGAGAGGCTGAGTTTGTTGGAGCTTGGGCCTCCTGGTGAGACCAGGGTCCTCATCACCATTGTCCCCTCCTCAGTCTGGGATTTCATCGGTGCTGAGCCAAGGGGTAGACCCGCAGAGAACCTTCTACGTCCTGAACCCTCACAATAACCTGTCAAGCACAGAGGAGCACTTCCGAGCCACTTTTAGCAGGTCAGGGGAGTAAGGACAAGAAGGGCTGGGAAGGGTAGGCGTAGCACAGCGGCAATGTGCCTTTTCTCCAGAATTGTTACAGCCTGCCTTCTTTCTAATGTCCCTCTGGCCCCTTTGTCACATGACCCCTGCCATGCTGTTCCCTATTCTTTCTTTTCCCTGCAGTGAAGCTGGCTGGAAAGGGGTAGTCGGGGAGGTGCCGAGCCCCAAACAGGTGGAGGCAGCCCTGACAGAGCATGACTTATACATGTGAGTCTTGGGCTGGGGAGGTGGGGAGGGGCGATCCCAAAGATGGGAGCACAGTGAGTTGCTTTGGGACTTCAGAGCCTCTGGGGACACAGGAAGAGGCTCATGGCACCTCTTCTGCCTTAGCTATGCAGGGCATGGGGCTGGTGCCCGCTTCCTTGATGGGCAGGCCGTCCTGCGGCAGAGCTGCCAGGCAGTGGCCCTGCTGTTTGGCTGTAGCAGCGCAGCCTTGGCTGCACATGGAAACCTGGAGGGAGCCGGCATCGTGCTCAAGTACATCATGGCCGGCTGGTGAGTCTGAAAGGGCAAGACCCGACCTCTAGGACATTCTTAGTGAGTCCTACCCTCAGCCCCGGTCGTTTCCCAGGTCTGAGTCCTGAATCCTTCCTCTTGCGTCCCACCTTCCTCCCATCCTAGTTCCCTGGCATGCCTGGCCCTTTAACCCTTAGCCCCTGTAACCCAGGTTGGAGTAGAGATGCAATCACGGCTCACTGCAGCCTGAACTCCTGGGCTCCAGTGATCCTTCTGCCTCAGCCTCCTGAGTAGCTGGGACTATACACATGTGCCACTGCCCCCTGCTAATTTTCTATTTTTTGCAGAGATGAGGTCTCACTTTGTTGCCCTTAAGCCCCTTCTGTTCCCTTGGAACTAAGGACAAAGAAGTTCCTCATCTAGGCCAGGCACAATGGCTCAAGCCTACAATCCCAGCACTTTGGGAGGTCTAGGTGAGAGGATTGCCTGAGGCTATGGATTCGAGACCACCCTGGGCAATTTGAAGAGACCTCATCTCTACAATAAATTAAAAAATTAGCCGGGCTTGGTGGTGTGTGCCAAGTACCTGTAGTTCCAGTTACTTGGAAGGCTGAGGCGGAAGGATCGCCTAAGCCCAGCAGGTCGAGGCTGCAGTGGCTGGGGGCATGCCTCTGCCCTCCAGCATGGGTGACAGAGCGAGACTCCTACTCAAAAAAAAACAAAAAAACAAAAAAAGTTCATCTCTACTCACCCACCACCAGTCCCAATGGTGTTTTCCTATGTATTGTTTTAGAACCCTGACTTTGTATTTTTTCCTTTTTTCCCAGCCCCTTGTTTCTGGGTAATCTCTGGGATGTGACCGATCGTGACATTGACCGCTACACAGAGGCTCTGCTGCAGGGCTGGCTTGGAGCGGGCCCAGGGGCTCCCCTTCTCTACTATGTTAACCAGGCCCGCCAGGCTCCCCGTCTCAAGTACCTTATTGGGGCTGCACCTGTAGCCTATGGCTTGCCTGTCTCTCTGCGGTGACCCCTTGGAGCTGTCTTATTCCTGATGGAAGCTATGTAACTGCTGACCTCCAATTAAATAATCCTTAGAATAAATATTTTAAAGATTTTTTTCCCCAGTGTTTTATATAAAACATTTCCTTTTGATTTAATCTCAATATAATAAAGATACATTGTCTAAACCCTGATTTGTGTGGTTGATCTGAGAACTCTTTTTTTTTTTTTTTTGAGTTGGAGTCTCTGTTACCCAGATTGGAGTGCAGTGGCCGCTCCCGGCCACCGCAGCCTCGACCTGCTGGGCTCCGGCGATCCTTCCGCCTCAGCCTTCCAAGTAGCTGGAAATACAGGTGCACGCTACCACACCTGGCTCTTTTTTGATTTATTGTAGAGATGAGGTCTCGCCAAGTTGCCCAGGTGGGTCTCGAACCCGCGGGCTCAGGCAGTTCACTCACCTCAGCCTCCCAAAGGCGCAGGATTACAGGCTGAGCCATCAAGCCCGGCAAGAACTCTTTTTTTTTTTATTTTTTGAGTCGGAGTCTCATTCTCTTGCCAGGCTAGAGTGTAGTGGCATGCTCAAGGCCACCACAGCTTCAACCTGCTGGGCTCAAGAGATTCTTCCAAGTAGCTGGAACCACAGGCACATGCCACTATACCCAGCTAATTTTCTTTATTGTAGAGACGAGGTCTCGCTAAGTTGTTCAGGCTGGTCTCGAACCCCTAGACTCGGGAATCCTCTCGCCTTCACCTCCCAAAGTGCTGGGATTATATAGGCATGAGCCACCACGCCCAGCCTATCTGAGAACATTTAAAGACAAGATGAGAGGCGGCGGGTTTAAGACCCGCCTGGGCAACTTGGCGAGACCTCATCTCTACAATAAATAAAAAAAATCAGCCGGGCATGTAGTGTGTGCCTGTAGTTCCAGCTACTTGGGAGGCTGAGGCGGAAGGATCACCGGAGCCCAGCAGGTCGAGGCTGCGGTGGCTGGGAGTGGCCACTGCACTCCAGTCTGGGCAACAGTGGGACTCCAACTCAAAAAAATAAATAAAAAAAATAAAGACAAGATGACTGCCCCCTTTCCACTATGTGGCACTGTAAGCAGATGGGAACAGTTAACAGGAGACCACATTTGAGAGCCTTGGGAAGAAAGGCAAAGCCACAGGACAAAGTAGACCCCCTGGGCCTCAGCAGACAACGTTGAAAAGGAGAGAAGCATCGAAATGCTAAGTGGAGACAGGACATAGAAGGGTTGTTTTGACCAAGTACCATCCCATATGTCCTGTCTTCCTGCCTCAGCTGTCCTGGGAGTGACTGGCACCAGCTTTAACGCCTGTTTCCCTTCCTCCCTCCTCAGTGGACGTTGGATGGCTGCTGCTCTCCTCCACATACAGCTGTTACACTTATCAGTGCGTGTACTCAGTGGGGGGTCTACTCATGCAATTGCCAAGCTCCTCCAGAGCACATACCTTACCCTTTCAGGTATCCCTTCATGTAGCACGTGGTAAAGCATTTTACTGGTTAATCTCGTGTTCTGTGTGCTGTCCTCTCCACCTCCACACTCTTGCATTTCATCTGCTCAAGGGACCATCTTCACAATATTCCAGGACCAACGAACTTCACAGGCCTCCCAGCCTGTCACTCACTAGGCTGATACCCACGTAGAGTAGCAAACACTACTTTGCAGTATTGTGGCTGTGTCCTGAGGACTTTAAGAATTTGAAGTTGGCCAGGCTTGGTGGCATATATATATGTGTATATATGTGTGTGTGTGTGTATATACACACACATTTTTTTTTCCCTTCAATTGGGGACTCACTCCGGGAGTGCGGTGGCACTTTGCTTCCGCAGCCTCCACCTGCTGAGCTCAGGCGATCCATCCGCCTCAGCCTTCCAAGCTGGAACTGCAGGCACAGCGCCACCACACCTGCCTAATTTTTTGATTTATTGTAGAGATGAGGTCTCCCCAAGGTGCCTAGGTTGGTCTCGAACCCCTGGACTCAGGCAGTCCTCTCACCTCGGCCTCTCAAAGTGCTGGGTTTATAGGCTTAAGCCCCGCGCCCGGCCTCAGGCTTAGGATATTTTACGAATAGAGCACGCGGTTACTTCTGCAAGCAAAAGCGACTCCCAGGGCAACGCAAGCCCCGCCTTCCTCTCCGGGACCGAGGACCATAGAGATGTGTAGCGCAGAGAGACTTCCCGGCGCAGCCATCGAGATGAGCAGAGGACGGCTAGAGCGTAGCTCGCCAGGCGGGCTTCCTCTTCGTTAGTGCTTCCCAACATGGCGCAGTCGATTAACATCACGGAGCTGAATCTGCCGCAGCTAGAAATGCTCAAGAACCAGCTGGACCAGGTGGGGGCGGGCCCCAGAGGCACACCTTTCCCTCTAGGTCCCACCACATCTCCCATCCACGCGGGCTTCCTCGCCCCTAGTTCCTGCGAAGTTCGGGAGGCTTCTTTCCCAGACGAAACCCCTGTCCGGTTCGAGGACCCGCCCCCTCCCCGGCCGCACTCCTCTCCCCGGCCGCACACTGACCCTCTTTCCCGTCCTGTGTAGGAAGTGGAGTTCTTGTCCACGTCCATTACCCAGCTCAAGGTGGTACAGACCAAGTATGTGGAAGCCAAGGACTGCCTGAACGTGCTAAACAAGAGCAACGAGGGTATGGGGTAGGCGGGTGAGGGCACCCGGGGGAATGTGGCGAGCCTGCTTCTCCCGTCCCGCCTCGTCCAGTTTTCCTTATGTGAGACGAGAAAACAATCCATTACGTACTGTATCCCGCTGCATGAGCGCTTTGCATGTTGCCTACATAGCATTGAAGTATACGGGACGTTCCTCTGCTCCTGTTGCCCCGTTTCTGTCCTTTCACCCACGCTGTGGGCGCTGTGCTCTGTTGGAACTGTCTTTAACGTCTTAACGTTGGAGCTGCTAACCTTCCCCAGGTGTTTGTCCTCATTGCTTTCACAGGGAAAGAATTACTCGTCCCACTGACGAGTTCTGTATCCTTCCCACAGGAACTGCTACCTGCTGCCTTCTCCCCTTCTCTGTCTCTCCCCCAAAAAGGGTAGAGGTAGTTTTTATTACTTCGGAGTGTCTTCCCCCTTTATTTTGAGAATTTTCTCATACACACATTGTAGATCACTTATCTTAACTTCCAACCAACATCTAGCTAATGCCTCGTGAGTACTAAAGATTATGTAGTGTTGAGGCGTGATATTTCCCTTTACTGTTTGAGGTTGTCAATCTAATATAGAGATAAAATTGATGGTTTACACTTTTGCTAATAACTTAGAAGACATAGGCAATAGACAAATAGGAAGCTATAGAAAAAGGGAAGCCGGGCGTGGTGGCTCAAGCCTGTAATCCCAGCACTTTGAGAGGCAGAGGCTAGAGGACTGTGAGCCCAAGGGTTCTAGACCAGCCTGGGCAACTTGGTGAGACCTCGTCTCTATAGTAAATAAAAAAAATTAGCTGGGCATGGAGGCACATGCCTGTAGTTCCAGTTACTTGGAAGGCTGAGGCGGAAGGATCACCTGAGCCCAGCAAGTCAAGGCTCTAATGACTGTGAGCATGCCACTGCACTCCAGTCACTACAACAGAGTGAGACTCCAACTCAAAAAAAAAAAGGAAAGGAGAGTCTTAGGAAGCCAAGCAGGCTGGCTGACATGAAATCATGGCTTATGCTGGGCTAGTTTTTCCCTTAATCCTTACTTCTCAGATGTATGTCCCTGGGAAGCTACATGATGTGGAACATGTGCTCATCGATGTGGGAACTGGCTACTATGTAGAGAAGGTGAGTGAGAGGAAGCATGTGGATGCCCCTCTGAACAGGGAAGGGAATTTAGGGAAAGCTCTAGCATGCAGCATGCAGAAGGGTCTCCTTTTAGCCCCTCATATTCTTCTGATCTTGCAGACAGCTGAGGATGCCAAGGACTTCTTCAAGAGGAAGATAGACTTCTTAACCAAGCAGATGGAGAAAATCCAGCCAGCTCTCCAGGAGAAGCATGCCATGAAACAGGGTGAGCTCTGCCCGGAGCACCTCTGGACCCTTCTGCCTCCATGATAAAGAACATAGATTGCAGTGTGAACCAGGGGAGTGTTCTCTTTGCTGGATTAAAACCATTATGTTTCCCTGGTGTTTTTAGAATCTGTGTATTGTGTATCCACTATTTGTAAATTTCTAGGTTGGGTGTTTGAGAAATTTAGGAAGAGATCATCGCCGGGCTCGGTGGCTCAGCCTGTAATCCCGTGCCTTTGGGAGGCTGAGGTGAGTGGATTGCCCGAGCCCGTGGGTTTGAAACCTGCCTGGGCAGGCGAGACCTCATCTCTACAGTAAAATAAAAGAGTTAGCCAGTCGTGGTAGCACACGTGTAATTCTGGCTACTTGGAAGGCTGAGGCGGAAGGATCGCCAGAGCCCAGCAGGTCAAGGTTGCAGTGGCTGGGAGCGGCCACTGCACTCCAGTCTGGGCGACAGAGTTAGACTCCAACTCAAAAAAAAAAAAAAAAA